TTTGAAGACGTCATCGTCTTAATGTTTACCAAGATTCCTGATAAAGGTAATTTTGCCGGTGACATCAATATCGACACGTTAGTTTTGGTGTCACAATTGTGTGTTTTTTATGGTGGTTTTATTCAATTTGATACTTCTTTTACATTATTGAAAGGCTACTCTCAGTCCAGTTCATAATGGCTGATTGATTTTATTTTGTATATATCACAATCACTGGCATCCAGTTGGTGATCAATCATGTATAAAATACGCAGCCAGTTCAATACATTTAATTGTCATCTTTCACAGTCTGTCACTGTCAAAGTTAAACTTTTTAATAAGTACAGTTACCGAAAAACACCAGAATTTTTTAAGGGGGGTCCGGTTTTTAGGAATTGACAGGCCTCAGATTGCGAGGACGACCATCATCCCTTGGCGTCATGTTCGGGGTACGCTAGAGAGCCCCGAAACATTTTGTGTTTTAGAGGGCAAATGGCGCCATTTAGAACAATGATTCAGCTAGATATTTTTGATGCGATTTTTTATAAAAAATTGAAGGGGGGGGGTCTGGACCCCTCTGACCCCCCTAAATCCGCCACTGGGTTTAGATACTTAACTGGCAACTATGCACAGTGAGCTGTACTTAATTGCACGGCAAGTAAATTATTCTTAATTCCATCACTAAAAATGGTATATCCTCCGCACACTGGTAAGGATATCTCTCGGATCTCTTAACGGATAAAAGTCTTAAAGTGCTTCCTGTGACAAGAGTGTTTATGAGTAGGAATTGTTTGTGTATGTACACATCCCAAAAAGGTTACAGAGGTTCGATAGCTGTTCAATGGAGGAAGTTCCGTAGTTCTCAGATAGTTCTGTTGGAGATCGATATAACATTTTCAACCAGCTGTTATCTCATTAGCTCGAATAAGCAAATCCATCTTGATTTATTTTTAATGTGACAACATAATTTCATTGCATGACAATGTTTGTTTCCGCAATATCTAAGCGGATAAGAAAAGAAAACATTAAGTATCGAACACCCTTAATTGTGTCATTTGTAAAGAAATTCTTTAAGAGACGGAGAAAGGAGGGTGTGACATACGTACGATCGACAAATTGAAGTGACCCATATGAAAATGGAAAAAAGGCAGTTTGTACTTCAACATAACTCGCACGAAAAACATATGTGATTAATTTAGTATCCTTCCGATAGTTCACAAAGACGGTCATTCTGTTATTTACTTACTTTTTTTATCTATTCATTTATTTTTAGAAGGGTATGGAATTCTACCGAAGTACATGTAGATTGGGCCTTGTTAATAAAAGCAATGCATGAAGTGTATGACAGTATGCATGAACATATGACCGCCTTATCACTCCTTTCCAGACACCAACCCAATCCAGAAAACGTACTTCTTACTGGGAAAAAACAAACGACTCAGCGGCTACAGCATTGCTTCAATGCAAATACGAAGTCGCTTGGAGTGTGCCACCTCGTGTTTACGGGAATCCCGCTGTCGGTCCTTCAACGTGGAAATCCCACAAGGACAGTCAAGTGAGTCAAGTGGATACCGTTGTGAACTGAATACCTATCTGCCTGCGGTCAATGAATTAGACAGCCAGAACTCTCATGAAATATACGTGGTGCCGTGATTATATGTGGAAATTTGCATTGTTGTGCACAATCGGATCGAACGGAGGTCAGGATGTTTAAATGGAAACACGTTCGTAAGTTTTCATGTAAATATCCCTATATATCTTCCCGATCAACTTGTGCAGTAGGCCTTCATGAAAACACTTTTCACTTGGTGGACTCAAAATATCTCTTTTCTTTCTATTTATTTATTTATTTATTTATTTATTTAACTTTCTAGAGACCCCCACCCCAAATGAGGCTACATGGAGACAAAGAGATTTGGGCGAAATTGTGTGCACCCCTCGCATCCGCCCCTTTTAATCCAATTGTTGACATTTCAAACTTTTTGATATAATTTATTTCTGTGCAAGTCATGTAATCATTTTTGGTTAACTAAAAAATTAAAATTACACTACAGTTGCGGGAATTTGGAATGTATGGACCTAAAGCAATAGAAACGCGACAAAAATGTGACATTCGACAACCGCGTTATTCTTCTCTAAGACAAAGATCATTGTTCAATTCTACAAGCATGTGTGTTATGTGCTTTTTTGTAAAGATCGTTGACTAAAATAATAACTGCTTAGAACATTCTTTTCCGACAAATGAGAAAGATGACGATTATTCTCTGCAAGCTGTTTTAGTTTATCGTGCCAACAGTGTGTGCCATTCGTCTCTCGCCTTCATGTAATACAATTGCTTGAATATTATTTTATTTTTAATAGAAATATTTTGCACATTTTGTCTGGTGAATGATAATAGCACATGTTTTTTCTAATAATAAAAAGATCATTATTATTATTATTCTTTGTGCAGTCTGTTTTGCATTAAGTTTTAAGTAAACAAGGCAGCAAAGCTGTCAAATGTATAGACAAAAAAAGAAAATAAAAATGCAAAAAATGTGTCATTTTGTCAATTTTGATGCAATAATAAATAATGCTTATAATAGCACAGTCAATCAACACTGAATTTTAATCGTGCACAACAGGTGAAATGGTCAATAACAGGAGCAGATCCAGAGATATTTTTTGACAGTATTCCAAATTATCTTTGTTGATCCATCCTCCATTTTTGATGGTCTTCCAACAGAAAAAATAGATACCCGTCAATGTAAACTTTAAAATCTGACCATCATCTGGAAGACCCAGAAGACGGTCTCAATCCGCCCCTGCAATAAGATTACAGTTTCAGGACCATGAGAGTTTAAATTCACAAAATGAAAATCCCAATATTTGAAAAAATGATGACAGCGCATAAAATAATATTACATAATGTTTAAAAACATAAAAACCAATGCAACTGCTGTGGAAATACAGAAAATGTGAAGAGCTTCAAGTGGATGGGAGTTAAAAATGCCAGTGTTTGGAAAAAAATTAAAAAGGAAACACAACAAAAATATTCCAATAAAGCTGCTATTCAAACTTTTAATCTTGCTGTATTAACATGATATGAATAACCCCCGTGTGTTCGAGGATAATAGGCACTGTTATTCATCTATAGCATTAATATTGGCGTGACGCAATTTTTTTCTTTTGTAAACTTATTCGCAATATTAAACAACATTTACCTGCATAATCATCACCGATTCCTAATTATGTGGCACAGTTAAGAGAGCTTAACCTATGGGACTTTACTGGGAAATTTCAACGTGTGTTTTATGTAATCTCATTTAATGGCCACTTGAAAATTAATTAGGCAAGTGACTTAATAGCTCTGAAATTAGCTAGTGATTACCCAAGGGACAATTACATACCGTACTGACCACCATCCATATACAGTAGCCCCATATAGCACTCTATAGAGCTGCATTGATTCCAAAATAGAAAACAATCACACCGATTTCCCAACACAAGCTGCACAGTCCTATGAAACTTTCAATAAGTTTGAGTATCATAAGTAACATGGTTTTCCCTTAATGCTCATCCTGGCAGTGTTGTCAACTTTTATGCAATATGACCATCAATTTTTAATAATAATGTAAAAGCATCATGGATCTTAAGAAAATGTGACTAGCAAAGGTCTTCAAGCCAATGGAAGTTCAGACTAAGTCACACCTTGAAAATGTCGATATGTGAAAATTTTAATTCTAACAAAAAAACTATATAATTTCTAGGAAAGTTAACCGATAAAACAGGTTTTCCAACTGAAGCTATATTTTAGTCCTATGCTACATTTCTGTAAGTTTGAGAAGAGTAAGTGACTTGGTTTTCCTTCAATGGCCAATGTGGAGGCAGTGCCTTAAATAGGGTTGTCTTCAATTTTGATGCAATATTACATAATGCTCAACAGCATAATGACCACCAACTTTTAATAATAAAATAAAAGTATCATGGATATTCAGAAAATGTGACATGGAAAGGTCTTCAAGGCCATGGAAGTTCAGAGTCACAACTTCAAAATGCCAAAATGTAAACAAGTGATAACTGTACTGAAATGATTTTCTTTCCACTTTCAACACTTTTTTTTTTTTTTTTTTTTTGCATAAAACAAAATAATCAATTTACTGTCATTTTTAAAAATGATCAACTAAGAAATAAAAATTGTTGACATAGGAAAAATATCAATAGAACAATTTAAAAAGTCCAATTTGCTCCATTCTGAGATACTGATGATTGAATCTGACAAACTGTAAAGATATGAGTTTATTTCCATTTTTGACACTTTATTACACAATACACAACAACAGGCTTACCATCATTTTTATATAATCAACTAACAATACTGTTCAGATGCAGAAAATGTCAAAAGAACACCTTTGCATATCTAATAAGTTCACAGATGAGTTAATTAACATGCCTAAGAATAAAATCTGAGGAAAAAATATTTATATACAAAAAAAGGCATAACTTCACCAAAAGTGAACCGATCAAGCTTATTCTTTAACTTAATCTGTATTTCAGTATGACTGATCAACCATGTGAATTTCAAGACAATTGGCCAATTGATTTTCCTTGAAATGTGTTATCGGTATTGCATATACGCTCAAAAAAGTGAAAAAACAGCATAACTTCCATGAAAATGGTCTGCTCACGCTGATTTTCAAACTTGACCTGCGTATTATGAATATTCATCAGTTTTGTAAGTTTTAAGCCAAAAGGTAAAACGGTTTTTCACTTATCGTGTTAGCGGTGTTGCATAAATGCTGAAAAAAGTGAAAAAAAATAGCATTACTTCCATAAAAATGGCCCGATCACACTGATTTTTTATCTTGACCTGCGTATTATGAATACTCATCAGTTCTGTAAGTTTCATGCCAAAAGGTAAAATGACTTTTCACTTATCATGTTATCAGTGAAAGTGCACAGCGACGATGACAACGACGGCAACGACAGATGCTGGTGACAGCCATATGTACAGACACATCTGTGTCTGTACATAAAAATAATAAAGCAATATCACTGTCTTAAATGAACTCTTTAATGACATCAAAGCTCAGAGGTGCAATCAGTTTATTTGTGCAAATGCTCAGCTGTTATATATCTACAAACTCACATACTACACACTTGGCCTTAATGTTATGCCAATTATGAAATACAAAATAAACTGAAAGAATGGCCTATCAGTCAAAAAACCATGTAAGTGGAACCTGCAGTTTACATCTGATTGCACTTATCATAAATGCTATTTGAAAATACATTTTAAATAATAATCAAAATTGATATATATAGAAGTTCCTTGTCTTCATAATAGATATTTCAGTTTAAAAGCATGCAACCCCACTTCTGATAATAAAAAAAAACAATGAAGCATACATTTCAAAAATCATATTCTAAACCGAATAATACCACAATCCTACAAAGTTTTCCAATTTGAATTAACTTTGGTCAGTCTTAAATTTCAATATGCCCTTTTAAAAGCCAATGTATTGGCCAATAATTCAGTGGGGTTTATCCCATAAGCACATATGGTAGAATGCTCTCCACACACTAACATTCCAAAATATCATATCAATAGAGCTTTGTTTGAAGAACAGCTACAGTATAGCCATTAAGGATCACTTTGTCTGTAAGTCATATATAAATCCAAAACAATTAAACTAAAAAAAATGTTAACAGCCGTCTTTCTGCTTTAAAACTGCTCTACATTTTAAAACACATAGCATCACATTTCATGTGACACAAATTAGTAAATTTAATTGTAAATACCTTTGGAAAAATTTGCAGTGAGATTCAATGGAATTGAGATTCTGAGATTCTATATAATAATATTAATACTAGATCTATCCATCATATTATACATGTCTATGAAAGATGGACTTCATAAACAGCATGGGCTACTCATGAAGTTCATTGGGTACATATTGCACAGTGACATAAACTAACACTATCACAAATACTTCTTTAAATTGTTCAATTTCTTATTTCCTACAAGAAACTCACAATTCACAGCTTTAGACAGAGTTTCAAATCTTTTCATCGCTGACAACAGGACTTTGTTCTGCTTCAGCTGACAAAATAAAATAATGTTAAATAAAAATAATGCAGATGGAATAAGAGAAGAATACTGGTCATCATCTGGAATGCACCATATCTGTAATAAAATATTGAGTGTGTGTAAGTAATATCTTGAGGAGCAAACCTCTGCTGCCTCCAATCTCTATTTTAGCTTTGTCCACATATAAGACATAAGACATTACACTTTTGAATGCTCAGCCCTTGCACCATTAATGTACATAAAGTGAAAGTTTTAATAAAAATAAAAAGATTGCACTGATTGTGTTATGGCTAACAAGTTACTTGGTAACTGGGAAGGGACTTCATGCTTTTGTGCCCTCATCACTTATGCTACAGTAATTATACCTTAAATTTGATAGCTGCTGCTTAAAAATGCTAATGATAGAACTATTGCACTGTATGCTGCTATTTTAAATAATTTAAAAAATTATTTGTACTAAATAACTTAAAATAACTTTGTGGCCTGTAATCCTAATATTTGCACAAAAATCCCCCAAAAATATAAATGACTATATAGACAAGACATTGAACTCAGCGTGTGCATCTGATTAAAAAGCAACTTAAGAGTGGACATAGTTGACTAGACAATCATTATACATTTTGCTTTAAAATCTTGGGGGTGTCAATTTTAATAGGATACAATATGCAAGTCAAGTGCTGACATCTGGTGCTCAGATGTAAAACTAATAGTGCTGTTGAAATGGGCTACCTAAGGCATTCTATACCTAGAGTTTAAAGTAACACTTGACACACATGAAAAGGAGAGATAAAAATAAATGAATTCAATAAGCACAGCAAAGCTTAATATCATAATTGCCAAATCCAATAGCACACTTAGCTACAAATCACAAGTTTGATACTGCACCCACTGTGCAGTATGATAACACAGTGCTGAACTATGACCTAGAAAATATCCAAGTAAAAAGTCACTGGATAGTTTTACAGTCCTGTTCTAACTTTACTTAAACTGAAATGCCTTTGAGGTTTATATGTCAAAATGTGTGACTTAGCATGCTGAAAACAGCAAGTGTGTTGGGCTTAATGTTTATAATGCTAATGTATACTCTTTAGTTTAAAAACAATAATTCTCAAAAGTTTCAACAAATAAAAATTAAATTAACTGTCAGTAGTAGTTTCTTTGCTGTATGTGTGACATTTGCTCAATTATTGTGTTCAAAGTTGTGTGACACATATTTGAGGTGACAATACTTCTACACTGTGTTAATTACAGGCGTCATCATTTTCTCATAAAGTCCACACCTGTACTTTCTCTGCAATAACACACCAGTTTGCATGGTCATAATAGGAGCTTATGATATGAAGACTATCTACATGTTCTTCTATCAGTTCAATGAGCTCCCTCTCTCTGAATACATGATAATACCTCTGGTACGTAGGCTCAGCCTTGGCGCCCTCTACACTACTGTTAGTGCTACTGCTTGCCCCAACGGAATCTGTCGATCCTGCGGCTTGCTGGCGTGTCTGATGAAAACTACGCCTGCGCAATGCAATTCTATTTAAAGCCGAGGTCCTTCCAGAACTGCTGCTACTGTTACTGCTGCTGGTGATGCTGCCATTGCTGCTGCTGACACTGCTACGGTTACTGCTACTGCTACTACTATCACTGCTACTCCCAGCAAGATTTCGTTGTTTATCAAACACAACACGTTTGAGGAGTTCAGTTGTTGGGTTATGTACATTGTGACTTTGAGTAGGTTCATCTGTTGGCAGGTCTTCAAAGACATCATCACTTGTGGAATATTGCAGAACTAGAGGGCTCTTGAGTGTTGGAGAATCAACTTTTGTATCCTGGTGGAGATTCTGAGATTCATATGAAGGTTTTGATTCTGATGTTGATTGCACAAGCCCGACTGACACAGTTGGCACCTCTTGTGACTTGGTATTATCACTCTGCACCGTTTCATGCTTTTTCATACTTTCCTTCTGTACATCTGACTGTCCTTTTTGTATACAAGGTGTACTTGTTTTCTGATAACTTGTATTAGATGCAACAGATTCTGTAGTTGAATGTTCATGTTGGTTGGTTGTACTGGTGTCCTCACCTGCACCAGTTTTTACTGCTTTTGCGTGCTCTTCTGCAACAACTGCACATTCTCTATATTCAGCTTCAGGCACTGCTCCATCTTTCACTTTGAGATCATTTGTTTTATCATCATCATATTGCACATTTGAAGAAGTTTCATCACATATTTCATGGGAGCTTTTCAAAGTTTTCTCAGTAGTGCTCTCCCCAAGCTGAGCTGGCTCCAAAACAACAGTGAATGCTCTGGGCAAACTGGATACTGAGTCACTCTCTTGAGTAGCACTCTGAAAGTCTGGTGTTGTAACAGGCTTCGTATCAACAGAAGAGGAGTATTGAATACCTTCACCTATGACTTTCACAGTGTCTGTGTCTTGAGTCTGTACACTTGCCTCTAATTTTTCTTCCTCTTCAGCATTCTCTCTTTCAAGCTCTGTAATGCTGGACTGCAACTCTAAGAAGGAACTAAACATGTCTTTATAGTCGGCACTGTGAGCCCTTGATCGAGGGAGTGATCCATCCTCGTCTGGTGTCACAGTGCTCGAAGTGTGGGTCATAGTCCTGCTTGAGCTGCCATTAGAGTCATCTGAATCCTGGGATGTCCCACTTCCACCATTACGCGATAAGCAATCCAGGCGATCAACTGTAGATTTGCAAATAACAGTCTGAGTTGAGCTAGGCTCAGAGTCTAAGTCCGAGTCTTGAGAATATGATGAGTGAGACCCATTAGAGCCATTGCTGCTGCTATTATTACGATCAGAGAGAGTAATACTAGGGGCTTTCCCTGACCTGGTTGGGTCAACACTGAGATCTTTTTCTGAAACCGAGTCTGTGATTGTGACATCGCTTTCCTGTGACACACCCATGAACAGTGGACTGCTCCCTGATGCGTCACTGGGTTTAGACAGTGTTAGCAAAGGGAGGCCACTTGAATTTGGTGGAAGTTGCCAAAATAAATTCTCCCCTTTCTTTTGAGATGCATCAAAGAGTCTGGACTCTGAAAACACTTCGTCAAGGGCACTGGCACTCTCTTCCTCCTTTGTTGATGACGATGGAGGAGGCTGACCTGTAAAACGCCACTGCAAATCTTTCCACTGCTGCATCTTTTCATAGCTATCCATATCTTTTTGTAAACTCACCACAAAACCACTGACATTAAGCTCAATTTCAAAATCGTCTTTCTCACTAAAATCATCTGAAGAGTCTGAGTTTATCCTGTTGCCTCTGCTGCGTCCAGCTCCAGGTTTGTTCCACAGTGTTTCTGCATAATACTTGTAAGTCTCCATAAAAGCTGACTCTTCTTCACTGCTGTCCTTGCGAGCAATTTCAGGAGTAGTAACCGTAAGACTAGCATTCTGCTGCTGAGCTGTGGGATCCAGCCCCGTTTTCTCCAACGAGCTAGTGGAATCTTCAGTGTTGGGAGATCCAACTGATGGACGGTCTAAGGACAGTGCTGAGTCATGGGATGACGTACTTGCTTCTGAGTTTTCTTCTTCCATCATCCGAGCCTCCTTTGTCATATGTTTCCCTGTTGCACCAGGCCCCAAGTTGTTGCTGTTTTTAGCCATGTTTTGTTCATAGCCAGTGTCCAGTGAGTAAGCCTTCTGAGGGGCTTGTCTTGTACTACTTAAAGGGAACTCTCTAACACAGAAGGCTGGAATGTCTTCCTCAGGAAGTGACACTGAATGCTCTAAAATAGGCCTGTTCCAGTCTTTCATAATTCTCCTCAGCAATTCACTGTATTTTGCATCTCTGTGATGTTCTTTACCGTCTCTTATTTTCTCTGCAGCGATAGGCAAACTAGTAGTGCTCCCAAGTACATCTCTAGTGCTACCAGATATTGTCGGTGTACTGCCTTGTATTCCAGAACTATTGCCTGAATCTATTGAGCGCAAAGTAGCAGTAGTCATATCTTTACTCATGCAACTCTGGATACCAGAGTCAACGGACTGAGAGAGCAGACTGATTGTCTCCTTGTTATCAGCATTTATCACATCTATTTCAGCTTTATCAACAGGTGGCACAACATGTAGTTCCTCTTCGCTGACATTCTCAGGTTGGTACCAGAAACTGAACCAAGAAGAGGAGGTGGGTGCCGGCTTCATACGGTGCCCCATCAGTGTCTCCTCATCCACGGACTGAGATCTAAAATTGAGAATGCTTTTCAGTTTTGTCTTTATGAGATCAGAGAAGCGTATCTTACACTGCTGGTCCTCGGGAGAGGAGGCCGTTTCACTGTCAGTGCTCCCATAGTCTTTAAGTAACAGCGTATGAGCAAGTTTGGGGTGCCGTTTCTTCTTTCTCTGAGGTGACGAGGTCCTCGATGATTGTTTGCTTGTTTCTGCTGGTGCTATTGCGCCATAGTTGATTTGGCGTTTGATACTCTCCAGCATGCTGTCCAGTGGATTCGTGAAGCTGGTTTCATCTTCCTGGTCAGCAGTGAATGCTTTGGCCTGAAAATGAATAGTGAATCTCATGAGAAATACTAAGTACAAATGCTAGTAAATGCTCCTGTTTATGTGTAGTAATATCTGTTCTGCCGTAAATTTTAAACATCATTAAAAACAGAGCACTCTATCACATTTTTTTTTCTTACTGTTCATTTAAATACTAGTATGCACTGCTTAATCCATCAGCAAGAAAGGCCCAAAGATTGTATCAAAGTTCATTTTATATCACCTGCATGTTTGAAATACTAACATAGCATTTTAATAAAATAAATTAACCAGGGAATATAATCTATTAAATTTCTGCTAGCCAATTGCTGGATAGTTACAGCAAAAAAAGTTAAACAACAGTTAACTTTGGTAATCATCTGTCTGAAAACAGTAAAAGATTGCACATTTCCTGATTAGTCTGATAAGAATTATATATGACATTTAGCTAAAAAATTGACTGATACCCAAGATTAAACTCAATATCTATTGCCCTCTCCCCCCCCCCCTCTTTTTGTCCTCTCCCAACCCTAACCTGGAACTGTTTCCGTGGATGCACTCTGTCCTTTTTCCATGCATGCTTGAGACAGTTAAAACTAGGCTCTTCTTCTCCTTCAAAACTACTGCTGTCTTGGTATTTTAACACCTGGGAAAGATGGAACAAAATATAAGTTTTTTCTTTGTATAACTTTGTCACAAAATGTCCAGTTCTGAGAAGACGTAAGACTGTAAAAATTAATAACAGCTAAAACTGCTGCCAACTGTCGTTGATTCCTCAAAATTGATTAAACAAATTTAGAATAAACACATTTTTCACTTGGATGGAACTGACCATACTGGTAAAATATTATTTTGTGCATTACTTGTTTTATTCATCAGTAAGAAGTATGTAATCTTTTCAACTTTCCTTCACTATAACATATAAGAGAGAGAGAGAGAGAGAGCGAGGGAGAGAGAGAGAGAGAGCAAAACAACACAACACGATATCACACCTGAATTCTGGTGACCTCGCCATTATCTTGCATAGATGCATGCTCTGGCGTGCTGTCGCTCAGAGACCCGCGCTTCTTCTTACACCACTCCTGGATCTGGCGACAGCTACTGCGGAGCATATTGTCATGTTGTGAACTGCTGCTACCATTGGTATCATTATCGTTGTCAACAATGTCAGACTCCGAGGTGATTGTCATAGCAACAGGGTCACCTTGAGTCTCATCTTCACTGATTGAGCTGGAGCTTGGGAGATCATTTTCTATGGAGGAGTTTTTCTTCTTTTTCTCTGGAAAATGATTATTTAATATTGTAGGTGAAACTATCAACAATTGCTTTAATAATCATTTACCATTGGTTTAATGCAACGAAGCAATTTACAAGGATAAACTTTCAACTTTCACATTACAGGATTAATTAACAACTTTATTCTATAGATATTATACAACATGAAAATTTTACACAACTACAAAAAAGTTATAACTGATTATGACCCAAGAGTATTATTTATGTGAAGGAGAACTGTTTCTTGCCCATTTTTTCAGCATAAACTTTGTGAACAGGTGAGTTACCTCCTGAGAACATGCACTTTTACCTTTTTTATGTTTATATTTAGGATGCAGGTGCCATGGAACCAGGACATCCTGGGACTCAAACTGAAATCAAAGAAATTTTAATGTATAATTTTCAGCACCTTACTTACGTAACAGATTGCATTACATTTCATTTGATCGGATGTTATTCATTCATTTTAGTTCATGCAAAATACAACAATTTTTAGTTATGGGGTATAACAGGCAAAAAAATTTTTTCACATAACTCTACATAACTGAACCATTTTGGGTTAATATGAACAACAACAACGAACAATAACAACAACAGTTTCTGGCACTGAAATCAATGCAATGTGTTAGGTGTGCTAGTCAGTTACCAAGCATTTCTAACTGTGACAGATGTGATTACTTGATTGTGATATTGAAATTCTTCTGTCATATTAGTTCCTGACTTGGATGCAGTGTTTCCATGTGTGCATATGCAATCTTTCTGATAAATCTTTGGTCTTTTGCTATTTTATTATAATTATAAATTTGCATAAAAATCTAATAAAATGTAATGTAAAATTTTTAAAAACCTCTACCAAAGAGGTTAGTTTTCACCTCTGTCTGTTTTTCCTTTCTAGTTGAAATTTAAGAATAAATTATTTCAAAAATAATAATACTTATTATTAAAGAGTGCAAATACCTTTCTCTTAGTTTGCTCCATAGCCCACACATAGATCATAACTTTTCCTCCAATTTGGCAGATCCGGGCCAATTCGCGTATGGCCTGAATACGACGCTCAATAGTAGAAAAATGGTGAATCACAGCAATAGAAATAACAGCATCAAACACATTGTCTCTGTAGGGCAGGAGAAGGCTGTCAGAAACCATGGTCTAGAAAAGGAAATCATAATATTTAATAATTATGTTCCATGAAATACCTTTATATAAATATGAATAAAACTTTAGGTATATACTTCAACTGAAGGAATGCAACAGGTCATCTTGTTGAACAGCATACCTAGCCTAGGATTTAAAAAAAAAATCAAAGTAATTATGATTGTTTTGAATTTAACATTTCTATCGTGTAGATTCAATTTATCACATTAATTGAAAAATGCTGAAAAAAAAACAGTGTAACCAAGCTTGTAAAAATTGTCTGCTATTGAGAACAAGGCCACCAGTGTTTAAACTCTGTGCAACAATCAATAATGTTCTTTAAGGACTTCACGCTGCTGGTTTTTATATTCTATAAGAGAAATATCATAGTTAACATGGCCACATGAATTAAAATGTGCTTTTTAGATCATTAAGATTAGGCCTACTACTTTTAACAGTTCAGGTCCACATTTATCATTCTAAAGCCCTTAAAGTCTACCTTAGACTAAAATTGGGACTGGTTTGTTTTACTACCAGACTCAGTTATACTAGATTTAATGTATAATATATGATCAAGAAATAAGACCCTACATGATACACAACAGTCCAAATTTTCATGTTTCTACAGTAGCCATCCAATCTCAAGCCAGTTTCACAATGTCTCCATTTACAAACAACTTCTCATTAAAGGATTCTTCAGCTTAATTTCCTGTTTTCATACACAAGTATTAGAACTTTGTAATGGCACATTAAACGCAAGTACAATGATGGCTTTGTGTAAAAATTATCCTTATAACATTTAAAAATTTAAACATCATACCTGATGTCCATGTTCAGCTGCTATCTCTACCAGACGAGCACATCTATCAGTGCCCAGTTTATATACACTGGAGTTAATACCTAGGTACTTGCCATTACCACAACCTGCAATTTACACAATATGTGATACATAATACATGTAATATATCATATTATACAATACACATAATATATTTTATACTATATTCATATATCTATTAGTGAGCAAGTTTTACATACTGGAGTTGATATCAAACTAACTGCAATATGCACACATTCTAAAAGATTTAACTTATCTGAATTATTCAACACACTCATTATATGTTACAGCATATATATTATAATATTTCAAATACTTTACATACACAGTATATAATAATCTAAAGCTAAACCATATGTTGTTCAGACTTCTATGATTTCATTATATAACCACCATTTTTTTTTTTTGCAATTAACCTCTAAAACAACCACTGAGTAGCATTATTCTAAACACTGATAAATGAAAAATTATATACCTATATCAGCCACCAGTGCTCCTGGCTCCAGGTCCTCAATAAACTGCTTCACTTTTGGCCATGCCTTGTACCGAGCATCACTGAAGTGCGGGGCAATCTTCTCATACACATCATGGACGTACTCCTTCTCCAGAGCCTCTGACTTGGCAGCACGGTCGACTGCTCTGTCTACTGGGTGCTTTTCAACAGGATGGTCATCTCCTTGTTCTTCTTTTTCTTCCTTGACCACTTCATTGTCCACTGTGTTGTCCACTTTGACACCACCAGCATCTGTCTTGTCCTCCTCTTCCCTGTCCAGTACAGTGTTATTCAATGTATTATCAAAATCACTGTTTGTATGGCTTGGCAGGGCTTTTCCTTCTGTTATTTCCTGCTCCTCCATAATAGCTACTGAAAGTCACTAGAGTCCATATTTCTTTAGATATTGATCCCAATGCCTTTATGCTGCTTTCAAGATGACAGAGTTTTTAAATGGTATCACAGACAGTGACACTATTTACACTGACTGAAGCTGGACATAGATAAGTGACCATATAGACAGGTTTTCTACTACGTCTCTCTCACCTGGACATAGGTAACTGGACATTACATATGTCCAACAGGGGTCTCTACTTCACAATTACGACAGGGTTCCCCCGAGACTCCAAAGAGACAACTATTCAACAGTCTTATATACATCAATTCAGGATTCTCCACAATGAGTGCTTATGGTCAGGCTGTTGTCCAGTCCCAATCAATGACCAATACTGGCCATTTTTAAGTAGATCTTCCGTTTGAGAATTTAGTCCCAACTCTGATTTCATTTTCTCACAGCAGGCTGGTAACTGAGGATCCAGTGAAGCCGTCTCACTTCTAGCAGTGAGCAGATGACACGTTAAATCCTTTGGCTTCCATATTTGTTTTAGTGGTCATTATCACGATCTGTTTGATACCTGATGTCGACATGGCTTCTGACTTCCTCCTGCAGACTGTAACAAATATACCTAAAAATCATAAAAATCTGTCAATAATAAATAAATCTGCTTCATATGGTAAAATGAAAGACATTATTACAGTAAGAGAGAACTAAACAAATTAAAAACTGCCACAAATATTCTAAGCTCACTTCAGCAGAATATCATATCATACAGCGAAATGCTAAAGAAATCAGATACAGATATTTTACCGTTTTCCATCACAATTATCACTGATGGAGTTTAAAATTTTTAGCCTGGCTGAAATCATCCAGCTATTTGCCTAAAAGAATGCCTAATATCCTGTAGTGGGCCCAGCCACTAAATACCATCATCCCTCCCACTCAGATCATGGAGAAGAGAAACAGGAATCAATCCCTGCCATACGATCTCTACTGCAGAGACATGGCCATTAACACAACATACAATAGGTGTAATTGAGTTAAGCAGACAATTCACCCACCCACTACTGTCTAAATATACAGAAATATATCACGACTACTTGGGTGTATAGGTACTTTCAAGCAGGCAACATCTCCTCGTGTTTCAGTTTGCTGGCGTATATGAATGACACACATGCAGACGCACGCAACTTACTCAGGCTGACACAATGTATTGATAGGAGATATACCATGATGGTGGTAGTTCAGGATAAAAAGAGATGGTTGGGAGTTTTGCAGTAAGATTATTAGTCTCGTTCACTGGTGGATCCAGAGGTGGAGGAGGAGGGAGGGGGGGGGGACATCCGATTAACCCCTCTCTCCCCCTTAACTAAACAGGATAACAAATTATTTGACAGAAAATTAATTTTCCATATCCGTGCCACACTTATCAAAGTAGAATTGCCCTCATCTACTGTTTTATCTGCAAGGCAAAAAAAAAAAATTATCCTTGAGACCCCCCACCCCTCCCTTAAATCCTATCCTGTATCTGCCAGTGATATTAAATCTAACCATCTTGAAATAATGTATCAGTCAACTTAAAAAACAAAAGAAAAGCATCACATCCTTTCTGTCTGGCCATTATCAATTTCTTTTACCAAAAAAGTTCAATCTATTATTATTATTCTCTACTGCCTACTATCCAGGGAAATTTTGTGATTGAAAACCTCCTTGTAAATGTTCTTTGAACACTTGTGAAACACTATCTGAGTAATTCCAACAATTACTGGTGCCAATTATGTTCTTATCATCTGTCAACTTTTTTCTTTAGTACAAAATTTGGTGATAAGAACAGAAAAGGTTTTTGAATGACTCAACCATTACCCCTCCCACTATGGCATTCATTTTACATAAAATCCATCATCATTTCTATTTTTTCTTTTTCCAAAAAATAATCTCTAAGAGGAGCAGTATGCCAATCCTCATACATACTTTAGATATTTCTTTGGGGAGATTATCATATCCATAAAGTTTTATCTCTCAAGTATGGATATAACTGACAAGCAGTCTTTATCCCATTATTTTTTCCTCTACAAAACTTAATATGGTTAGGTCTGTATGGATAGGCCTCTAAAGAAGACTATGATTCATATATCTATATTCATATCAGCTTTCATAGTTACCTTGATATTACTTTAATTTCTTATTCACATAGCAAAACCACTGTGCAGATACAGGAAACTAGTATTTCAAGTCTTTCTAGAATCAAGCATGCAGGAAAGGCAACGACATAAAACCCACTGTGTCTCTTGAGGCCTCATGTGGGAAGACAGACTCATTCACTGAGGTTATATAAGTGTAAAAAATGCCAACTTCATGAAGCACAGACAATTGCAGCAGACAAATCCCTCATGTTAGCTACCTACATCAATGGGACTGCAATAAAGTATGTCTTTTAATGTTATCGACATTCTGGCTCCCTTTTATTCAGTGCAATTATTTGTGCTGTGACTAAAGCTCAACAGCCAGAGCTAAATTTGTATATGCCTTGAAAGTGTCAGTGAAGCTATAACTAAATTAAATGAAGAGAGAGAGAGAGAGAGAGAGAGAGATCACGAGAGAGAGAGAGAGAGAGAGAGAGAGAGAGAGAGAGAGAGAGAGAAAGAGAGAGAGAGGGGGATTGGGGGAGAGGTGAAGAAAAGGGTGAAGGGAAGAGAAATAGAGAGAAAGTAACATGCATAAAACTCAGCCACCTCTACTAATCAATAAACAACAAAATCTTAGGGATTTCAAACATATTCTCTGGTGTTGAGCCACCTGGGTCTGTTAGTCTATCTGGTCCACATGTTGTGTGATAGCATCCAAAATAGTGCCTATCAATATCCTACAGCATGTCTTGACCATTGAACCATTCTTTACAATACACGGATGACGAGAATCTAATTATTACCACAGAGAAAATCAATTAGAACAACAGCTATTGGGCAAACACATTGTCCCTTATGAATGGGCTGCTGACGTCACATAACACAAGTAAATCACTCATACACATTCCTGTGCATGTCTAAGATGTATACAGTGATAGAGCCCTTTTTTTTCTAAATGTTTTTTTTTTTTTTAGAAAAAAAATTCAATCTGAGTTTGTTCACCTTATTATTTCTTATTATGTACCCAGGTCTTTGTGTGCACATGACGATGCATACTTGCTGATATATCTTATACTAGTAACAATATGAAATTTATAAGCATGAAATTCTGACCATGAAGAATTTTTGTTTCTACCTTTTTTTCTAATATCAAAAACAATTGTTCTGATACAAAAATTTAATTTACCTGCCATAAGCTCACTATTATGCCGAAACATAACTCACAAGAGAAAACCCAAGGAGAACCATGGACCACAAAATGACTAAAACTGAAAATCAGCTTTTAGCTGACTAAAAGTTTTAAGAATCCAAAAAGGCTACTTTTCTATCTTTTAAAATATTTAAAAAGCTCATAGAGCAAACTGTGATTACCTTCACGTTGACTTTCGCTTGGTGATATATTAAAATGTCATTTAGTCAACTAAGTTTACTTTGGCTAATCATCCATAACAACAATATAAACATTATAATAGCAAATTCAAATTAATGCTTTTGACTATCTGAATTTGGCAGTCTGAAGACTGAGCATTTTTAAAATAAGTCTCTAGTTTATCCAACATGGCATGTTTTAGGCTTCATTCCTTTGGAACATAATCTTAATCTGAACAATCAAAAGAAAAAGGGGGAAGAAAATCAGATAGCAAATAATAAAAAAATGGTTGTAAAAAATACTTGTTAATTTTTTAAGGTACAGGGGGCCATGTTCATGTATTCAAGAAATCACCTTCAACTCCAATAATCATGCACATTTCCAATCAAGTTTTGAATTTATGAAAGAAACTAATCGTTGACCTCAAATGAATGCTATTGATCTCACACGTTTTCATTTAGGTCTGCATAAAAAAGTCTACCATTTGACATGAACTGCAATAATGCTGTGCTAAATATATAGTCAAGCTTATTGAGTTTAACACATAAAAAACAGGAAGCTTAGTTCAGTGGTTAGATTATTGAACCGCTGTAAAAGTGAGGTACTAAAAATAAAGCATTTGATACTGAAGCATAAATAAGAAACTGGTCTGAGGCCAGTGCATAACAAGCAATGTAAATCTTACACAATTGTTGTACATGTCACATGTTACCTTAAACAATTGTTGTATATTATGTCGCATGCTATCTGATACAATTGTTGTGCACATCACATGTTATGTACTAATGTTATTGTTGCTTATAACAAACATTAATGACTTGAAAATTTTGTCACTTAAAAATTTATTAATATTTTAAAATGCATCAATCCGACATGACACTATTAGGTGACAAACTTTTCAAAATTATCAAGAAGCCCATATTTAAAGTGAAAAAAAAATCATGTAGGCAGAGAAACGTCTTCCACAAAATTTTCTTCAAGTTTTTACCATATGTAGTATTAACCAAGAAAACAACATTACATTATCAGGAAAGCCATTATAAAAGAGATACCAACAAATGCCTCAACAGGTGGTTCGTATAACACATAACACCATCATGACTGAAATGATATGGCAACACCAAATCAAACTAAAATGATTTCTTTTACACCATCCTTTAACACACCTATTCAAGGTTTGTGTTTACTCACAATTACATCATACACTTCAGAGACATAAACCATGACGGTCTTTTATAAAACAAAATCGTAACAAACTACAACTCATAACCACATTCTTTCCTCTCGTGGAGCAGCACTAACACACTAACACTTATCCATGCACAAAATGGATTCTTATGTCAAAGCCTCTTAGAAATTGAATACATGTTTCTAAGAGAAGACTGCTGTTTCTCACTCCTGCAGTAACAATATCAATAGTTGGGACATCAGCCAGGAATAATCAATAGAAAGGCATGCCTGGCCCAGTCATATCGATGGTACCCTGTGGATCAGACTGCAGCTGCTGATTCACTGGTAAATATTACCAGTCCTCAATTATTAGCCTGTGAACCAAATTCATGGCACATAAAGTGTCAAACTAATAATTCATTTAATGTCAAATGACAGATGGTGGCTCGCTGATTTGTCAAATGAAGTGTCAAAGGGCAGCAGTAACTCTGGTCTTTGTGACACAAAAACGGTATCACATTGATATCACTTTAAAGGCATCACATTAATTTTAATGGTACCTCTAGTATCACATTTATTTTAAAGGTATCCCTAGTATCAAATTAATGGTACCTCTATTGTCACAATTTTAATGGTACTCCTAGTATCAATTAATGGTACCTCTCTTGTCACATTTTTTAATGGTACCTCTAGTATCACATTAAGGCTACCTGTGGTATCTTATCTCTTTTATTTTAATGGTGGCCCTAGTATAACATTAATGGTACCACTAGTGTTACATTTATTTTAAATAATAAGTTAAACATAATATTAGTGTCACTTTAATTTAATGGTAACTCTAGTATCACATGAATGGTACCTTTAGTTTCAAATTTAATGTTACCCCAAATAACACATTATTGATGCCTTAATTATCAAAAGAATGTAAGGGACTCATCTTTGTGTTAAATCAAGTGTCAAACGATAGGAGTTTTTATTTCCGATGTCACATAATTGGTATCACAATACTGCATTATTGATATCATTACATTGTCAGCATGTGTTACGTAACTGGCTGTGATTGATTTTCTGCTAAAACAGAGTACAGAAAATACCTCAATATAAATCCAGAGGAATATAGTAAGACATGACATGGGTGTCAACTGCACTGAACTATTTTGTCAGATTCTGAATGATAAACTTCATGTATAATGCACATGAGAGAGAGAGAGATAGAAAGAGAGAGAGAGAGAGAATGTGAGAAAAAGAGAGATGTCTCCACCCTTTTCCCTATCATACATTCATTCCATAAAATAGTATGGTGTTCAGCAAAGCTTGCCTATGATTGTCTCAGAATATGAGCTGCAATGTTAGCATGTGCCCAACAACATCACTCTGGTAGCACCCAACAGTACCAATGACAACAAGTGTGCTGAGAAGATACTCCCATACATGATATACAGGGTACAGGACTGTTCAATAACGAAAGACATTAATTCAAGTATATACACATGAGAACCCCTAAGCTTTCCCCCAGATGTTTCATTTTCTAAGTGAAATCAAATTGATGAACTGTGTCCAAAAATACCCATTAACTAGCCTAGCAGTCCTTTAGGGCAAATCAAGATTGTCCACTCTACAAGTAAAAAACAACTAATGACCAGCCCCAAAATATGAATAAGCAAAATGGTGTAGTAACACTGGGTCAGTCTAAGTCTCTCAAGCTTTCTTGAATAAAATCTAATTGATAAATGATGTTCTTGAATAGCCTTCTGCATGCAATATTAATCCCAATTCCAGGACACATCACAATCTATCCCTTTGGTTGCTGGGCCATTTGTAGTGGTTTATAGTGCTCTTCAAGTGATTGAACAATAGATGGATTGGCTTTCTGTATGAATGAATGAATTGGCCAATAAATTATAGTCTACACTTAAAGTACAACTTGGAACCATGCCAACATTCTCTTACAGTTGAAGTTTTCAGTACTGAAGTGTCCAGTACAAATTATACTCTTTAAATGTTAGTACAGTATCAATTAGATAAAAGCTTTTTAACCCCAAAAAGCTGTAGAACACAGGAAGAAATTTGTTTGAAAGACACAATGCTTATGGACCTAAATACAAAAGCACAGACAATCTGTGCTGTTATAAGAACCTGTATCTGTTTGAAAGACAAAATGCTCATGGACGTAAATATAAAAGAAGCACTAACAATTCTTTCTGTTATACAAGAGGCACTTTCACATACTGTTCAAAGGACTCTACCAATATATAGAGCAGAAACTTAAATGTGTGCTCCACTCAATAAAGTATTCTACTCCTCAATGTAAAAAAAAAAAACAAGAAAAGGAGACAATAAAACACCCCACTTTTCAACCTAATGAATCAAGACTCCATTTTTCCAAAGACCCCCTAAAGAAAGTGAAAAAATAAAAGATTTGGTAAACAAATCAAAATTTTCAAACTAACAGAATGTACTTTAAAAACCGCGGTGACACCTTATCATTAACACTGGCTTGAACCAGTTAAAACAGCATGAAACTCTTTCTAGCCTGATGATGTCTTAGAGGAGTCAGCAATGTATACAACAGAGGCCTTTAACTAAGAATGCTCACAGTTCCGTGACCAAGTCTATAAACTAGAAGGTAAATTTGCCAATAAAGATATTGATAAATGAATTTAAAAATGGAAAAACAGGACTTGCAATTTAGCAAAAAAATTCTGACTGCATGATACCATGAAAAGTTCAAGTATCGATGTTTTCATACATCTGAATGCAGTTGAGGGCAATAGCATCCCTTTTCCTGGCCAAGCTAAACTAGATGTTCATTGGAGACCTTCATACCATATCAATACAAATCCTAGTGATACAATCCTGTCTTATGGCCGCTGCGAAATACTTAAGGGCCAAGTTGGACTGAATCCAAAGTATACAGCATATACATAGTCCATGGTACTGGGGTTTGCTTCTGGGTTTTGTCAGATGGATGGGATGGCGATAACCACATTCTGTATGTGTTTCTGGCCCCTATTGAGATACTGCTAGGCCATCAGGCTACATATTTGTATGAGATGAACTGGGCCATACATTATACATGCACCACTTGCGTGGGTAGATACTGGTGTGTCTCAGATGCAAGATCAATCAAATTTGTGGCAAAATGAAAACCTGCTTCTCAGAGGATTGATCTTTTTCCTTTTCTTTTAAATTACATAATGTTGCACGTATTAAGGCCAATGCCAGAATCGATAGCTGTCCATATCTGAGTCAGAGACATTTTGCTTACAGTATGGCTTACAGTATGGCTACATAAAAGAGAAAATTCAGTTAATTGCCACATGCTGGCAGTTAGTATGCAACTTGAAATGTCTTACCAGAGTTTACAGAGAAGTCCAAGTCAAAAGAAACCCAGACCTAGAACTGGCTTTAGATTGTCTTTAGTACAAAAAAGCCTTTACAAAAATCAAGTCTGTTTTGCAGATAATGGTGACATTAATGACGACTATGCCAATAGACTGTCACAACACTTTCTTTTCTTTTTAACATATCTAATCACTATGATCATTATGGTCAAAATATGCACAGGTCTAACAGAAACATGGGTTTGTCAACAAGCTTAATATCTGGACCTAGCTAATACAGGTCTCATAAACCATAATTGGTGTTTGTGTCTTTGAGCCACCCAAGAATTGCCTTCATTACTGCATTTCCCCTAAAAATCTCATACTGTGTAAAATAAGGAAATAAGATAAGTTCATTGAACACTAAATATATATATTTTTTACTACAGTTTCTCTTTTTCAGTAAAAAAGTCCCTCTTGGAAATACTTCTGGCTTTCTGGTCTCAAGTCGGTTATAATGAAGATTGTCCCCTACAGAAAATAAACTGTGCAAAAGATTAGGACAGACAAAGTTTGGTTCATTCTGATGGAATAAAAAAGGCAAAAAATTAAAAATATGATTATGAATCTACAAAAATTCTTCAAGTTGATGGATTATTAACCCTTGTCCATATTCAAGCATTCCTCTGCAGTTGGTTTGTTATGCTGGTCTTAAATAATCCATTTTCCTCTTATACACCTACACACATAACTACTTACCACAATTTCATATATAAGCATGTGTTTACAGACACACAGACAGTGTCAGGAAAATGAACAGGATGCAACAAAGACAGATTTAAAAAATTAAAGGCATAAAGACAGTGAAACAGACAGTTTGATTGCAATGCACAGACGTAAGGAGACTTGGAGACACATGAGATGTATGCCAGAACACCTCAAGCATCTTCAGCAGGTATTCAAGGCATATATTGCAATAATGTATTATCTGACATACATTATGAGAAAAAGTGCTCTCATTTCACTGAAAAACACCCCTAAAACCAATTAAAGCACATATCGCCAAGGTGACACTACATCTCTAGGAATGTATTAAGACAGATGGAGGGATGCATCAACAAACAAACAGAGGGACAGACAGAAAGGCAAGCTGAACTGAAAATAAAACCTTTTTACTTGAGGTCATATATACTCTTTCACCTTCATTAAAACAAAATCAACAAACCTAAACTGTCTTGAAAACCTGCCATTCAATCCTCTTCTTAACATCTCAACTTCTGTCATCACAATCTGTTAACCTATAGTGTGACTGGTGCTTGATGTTTCTTTAATACCGCTGACCTTTTCTTTGAAGCACAATCGCTGTCTGTAATTTATTGATTAATTTCCTTTCCAGAGCATTGCTTAATCTGAAGGTAATATTACCAGGCTGAAGATATGACCACAACATACAGAGAGCAACAGCAACTCATCATAGGTGCTATATCATGTAGAGTAATATGTGTGTGTGTGTGGGAGAAAAAGGGATTGAGATGTGAGAGAAGGTTTGTCAACTATCATTAGAACCAGGCAGGTGACATTTCCTGCTCAGATGCTCAGAAAGCAATGCCATAGCAGATCTTATAACAGGTGCTATGAAGATTTTATGTGGGCAAAAGCAATGAAGATTTTCCTCTGCTTTCACAAGGTATAATATTCCCCACCTCATGGTACCGCTGCTTTACTATTAAGCATGAAAAAAATCTACCAGTACATCACAGATCAGGTCGTATATATGGAAAACTCAGTCATATACAGCTAATCTGATAGCTGTTTTTCTGGGTAATTTGACAAAGTGTTGTATTCTAAACCAAATATACTGTTTAAATCTTTGGTTTAAATCTTTCTGTCTACTTTCAAAAACATAGCCAAAATTAATACAAAATACAGGCATTCATCTCACTGTCACATCTGCTATTTAATATAATAAAACTGTATCAGATCACTCAGAAGTATTACTGACTACATCAAGTGTATAAACATCACAAGAAAATCATCATACAAAAACCATTTTAATTCATAGAAGCATACTAGTAGGTGATTACTAGACAAAAAAAAATTGAGAAACCTTTCTAGCTAGCTTTCTAATAAAATGTCAACTGTAAGACCATAGCACAATATCTCGCTGTTACCTATGCAAACAGGTGTCACATTATATCAGAAATACAAGTTCTGTCACACTACCATTAAAGTCTCTTGGGAATTGTATGGAATAAAAGTACCTGCAGAATATTGTATTCGCAGCAAGCCAACTAATGGCAGCTATCTCATGTTAGGTGTAGCAGATAATTGAATTACTGTGCACTTAAGCAAGCTTGCTATCACTCTCTCAGTCTACATAATTGTGCTAGTAACAGTTCAGTTAGGAGCAGTCAGTTCATTCACAGTTCAACAATTATTCTGTTATGATAAAAAAATGACATGTATTATGATGACAATGCTGTGGACCAATATACCTACCTGTTCCCACATTTAAACAATTTGTGTTTAGGCCCGTGACAGTGCAGTCAAAATCTGTGCAGTTAGCTCACTGAAAGACTAGAGCCATCTGATTTTTTATTCTATCGAGAAGAGGTAGAATGAATGAAAATTTTCATGTAGTTCGAGGTTAATAGAATATTACTTAATATTAATGAATTTTAATGGAAAAAAGAATGAAGTATCCTAGTCTGTAATGTGTGCTTTAAGGGTAGTAGCTGGAATATATTATAACTGCTAGCATGAAGTAAGTCCTGGTGCTAGGACATGAAATTCAACCAACTGATGATAATTACATGCCAGATACAGGCAATGTGGGGTAAAAGCATATCTGACAAGCAGATTGTTTTAAACAATGTATCTTCAAAAGAGCTTACAGGATTTCCTCATAAATCTCAAGCACTTTTTGATGAATTATCATTCTCAATCACTAAAAACGGACAAACTGAAAGCAATTTTTTTAGGTATTAGTAACTGGGAAATATTAATCATCAATTTTGTCCATACCTGATGAGTAAGTGTCATAATCAATCCAAACCACTCTTGGGAAAACTTGGAGAAAAAAAAACTGTACCAATGTTTTCAGACCACTATATATACTGTATTATACACTACATGTAGCAAAGTAGTACAACTGCCATATAATACTAAGTATGAATATCAATTATTCCACATAATGTGATTTATAATTAATCACAGTCAGCTGTGAAATCTCTCTATCCTTAACGAAAACTCAGTTACATGCCACATAACAGTGTTAGTTTCACACAAGATGTGAGTGGATTCTTACATTTGAGGTGACAAACTGTGTTATTTTATCTGGGTTGTATTAATGCAGCAGGTACATATATACCTTCTCAGGCTTTCAGGATAATGGAAGCATGATGCAAAATACAGCCAGCTGAACATCTAATAGCCTCCTTAGGTCATAGTTGGGATGAGAGGTTACTATAGGCAGAAAAAGAGAGGGCGACTGCATTACTGGATGTTTGTCGCATCATCTTTCTTTTCAGATGTACCTCAAGCTTTTCTCCTTGTCACATTAAACACTTCTTCATCACATCATTTTATGTAAGATACAGTACCCATTCACATTGCTATCTTTCGAGATCTGACTTATCTAAATGTGGTTCTTCTCTTGGCAACTTTAATTTATCTCACCTTTAATATGTCACCAACTTAATGATTTTCATTAGTTTTTAAGATGTGATTTTGCCAAATGCATTTCTATTTATCAGCTGCACACTCACCTTGTGAAGGCTGGGCATAGACTTGGCATGTAAAACCATCAGTGCTCCAGACTCTATTGGTTCACATTGAATGACAAGGACTTTCTAATTTGAAACTCATGACGCACGCATTATTGACCCGGCAAAACCAATCAATAAATTCCTCCTGTCGGCTTCTAAGGAGAAGGAGAAAATCGCATTGAGAAAAATCCATGGTTAAGAATAACATAATCAATTCTGGGTGCCCCTTACAATGGATATCAAAACTGATAAAAAACCATAATCTTCATACAGACTGTTTATCTATTTCTTAGTGATACATTTGAAGTAGGTTGAAGAAAATAGAAATTGAAATAAAACAAAAAAGCTGAGCGTGATGCTAAAATGCTTAGACATTTCAAAATGAATAAATAATAAAACTTATTACCAAATTATGGTTGCAAATGAAAACAAAATCTATACAAAACATTTAAAACTTACATCAGATCTGCATCTTACTTCTTTGTTAATTTAGTTCAAATAATCCAAGTGTGAAATCCCTATTTTAATTGTACACTTTGTCTTGAAGAATCAATTCCAGAACAAAACATGGCCTATTGCATGCTTAATTGTTTATCTTTACTCAGGGCAGAGATGACCATTTTTTTCATCCACTTATTATCAAGTTACAGTATTTTCAGTAGAATATGAGAAAAAATATGAACAGTAAAAGAAAAATAACAAAATATTAAAAAAAAACATATACACTTAAAGTGAATTCCACATCTGGCTCCATCCAGCATGTAGTACCACAATAAGACAAAAAATATATCAAAGCTAACTTAACATCAAAGAGTATTTCTGTATATAGATTTTTTTGTTCAATTTAGGTGATGCAAATCCCAAAGTCTGTTGGTCCCATGTTTATACCTGAACAGGTAAGTAATATTATTCTGTAGCTACTTCTGTTTGGCAACTTCTCTCATGCCATTTTCAAACACGTCCATCTACATGCAGCTGCAGTGTGAGAAGCCATAGACTCAAGAGGGCAATGGGGAAGTCTTCTGAAAAAAAAAACAACATAACACATCTTAAGAAAAAGCTTCAGTACTAGTAACTTGGTTTTAAGATGATATTAATAGTATGTTTAATTTCAGTAAATATAGATAATGGTTATAAACGAAGCTGACTGCTTGATTGTTCTAACCTAGGACCCATGAAACATGCATGCTGGGTTCTAGAGCTACTCACTCTCTAACACAATACAGCTACTGCATTCTGTTCAGAGAAGTGGGAGCACCGCTGTGCTGAGGACTTCCTATAGCTCTAGATCTGACACGGTGACCTGTCAACACTCCTGATTTTGGGACACATCTCCCCGTCTCCCAATTCAGATTAATAATCTCCCCATCTATCAGACTTCCCTCTCTTTCACTTTGTTAGAAGGTGTGGTGGCTTCGTTCACAAAAATGTGCCATCATGTAATTGCTTTCTTATAATTAGTTTCATTGATGGAGGTTAGTGATTGCAGTAAACAACAAGAAGAAAATGCAAAAGACAAAACCACATTGGGTCTATGTGTGATTAATATCCTAAACACTATGTATGATAATGTTGTCATAGGACGAAGCTTGTTCCCAAATACCGATCATTTAAACCATAAGAATTGTTTGTAATAATTGCTTTTACAAGTATACTTCCTCAGTTAATGTTGAAATCAGCACCACCTTATTCAGCTGAGAAAGTGGACCTTCTTCCAATCCAATCCATAAAACTTTTTTATTTTTTTATTTATTTATTATTATTATTTTGTTTTATTCATTTATTTATTATTATTATTATTATTATTATTTTGTTTTATTCATTTATTTTTTATTATTAATATATATATATATATATATATATATATATATATTTTTTTTTTTTTTTTTTTTTTTTTTTGTCTTTTGCCAAGTTTTGGTAGCTGCATGAACATCAATAGATTCCCAATGCACTGTGGGTTCTTAACTCTTAATGCTTTATACAGCAGGGAGCCCCCGATTTCTAAAACGTTGAATGGTAAAATATAGTGTATTTGCAAGTTTCAAAGAAGAGTTTTAAGTGCAGCTTGAGCACTAGGCCTATAGTTGGTTTTTATAAGAATGGCTAGTTTGTAAGGTGTAGGTAGTATCATCGCTTGTGGAGAAAAGGGTTACATTACAAAAAATGCAGCTCTGGAAAATCAACAGGCAAAGCATCAAGGCTATGAAAAGAACTCAAATTATAATTGGTTACTAAAAGAGCATAAAGTGCCAACAGAATTTACGTGGATTCAAAGTTTGCTTTTTTTGATCTACACAATGTGTATGAGAAGAATTTTCATGTCAGTACAATTGTCAACTTGCACAAAATATTGCACTCCTATTATACCTTTTTGTTTACTCACTAGGGCCTATTTCTACAACCACCTATGTATAGTGCTAAGGAATGAGATTCCATGCTAATTGGCTACCTGTCCCCATAGTGAATGGATTAAAAAAGAGTTGCTCAGATTTGCTCAGATTACGGTTCAAAGGACAGAACAATGATTTTTTTTTTAAATTCAAGAAAAAATGAATATTTATGAAGTGAAACAACTGAGACTTTACAAAGAAGTTATTCAACAAGTTGAATAAGTTTAATCTTATCAGTAACTTGACATGCCATAATCACATAGTATTTTAGTCGATGACTTTGAATGGTCTTATTTGATTTCTTTTTTCACAAAGAACAATAATTGCACCAGCTTCACATGTAGACTGAGATCATTAATCTTTCGACTTCTACTGCAAAATACTTATTTTGATGAATGCAGAAATAATCAATTGACCTAAATATTACTAGAAATAGTCACTCTGTCTTTTTTTTTAACTTAAAAGTTTAACAAAATACAGAATATCATTTTACACATTAGTCCATTAAAATGAAAACTTACTAGATAGCATGAGCACAGCTTTATTTGAAATAAATCAGTTGGAATTTCATATTATTAAAATGTTGAATGCAATATCAATCCTTTACTATTACTGTTATGACTAATAATATCTGGCAAAAAATTAGTTAAATAAGGACATTATTCAATGTAAATATAACAGTACCAGTTTAAATATATAATAAAAGTTAACTGTAGAATCAAAATGTAATATTCTATTCATCAGTTTGGTTAATCCAGTCGAAGATGGCGTATCCCAAATGCTTGAGATGATTCAATTTAGTGTGTGTGTGTGTGTGTGTGTGTGTGCGTGCGTGCATGCGTGCGTGCGTGCGTGCGTGTGTGTGTTTAAGTAAACCATTTCATATATTTGAAATACTGACATTTGATCCTTTTTTCATTAATATGCATTAGTTTCATACAAAAATATGTCTGACTTTGATTAAAAATGTGCTCAAAGGCCATGTGCTTTTCACATCACTTGTAGTGTGCATAAATAAAATCAATCTTTCTCTTATTAAAGAGTTAGATTCATTTGCCAATTCTTGCACATGCAGAAAAAGCAAGATGTGCTGCAGCAGCTCCCACAGATGTTTAAGTCGTGGACTGAAAATGAGATTGCAATTATTGATTTTATGCCCCTTGCTATACATACTAGGCAATCCAACCTTGGATTAATTTGTGGGAATACTGGCAGAGATAGGGATGCTTAAAGGCAGTCTATGTATATGATAGACACTTACAGAGACAAACAAGATTAACTTTACCGGAAATTTCAGCGACTTACACATCAAGGTATACAGTTAAGAAAATTATGCATATCATTCCTTTTTATGTAGATGTTGTTGTTTACGGGGCATTATTTGGTTGGCCATAGGGATGATATTTCAAAAATACTCCACAATAATTATGTTACTTTGTTCATTTTTGGCCCAATTCAGTCATTACTAGCACAAATAAACCATGATTTGTGCATGTCATTTAAAAGAAACAAAAAAGAAAATTAAGTATGTCAAGAAATTAATTCTCATCAAAGACACATTTCAATGCACCAGCAAGAAATTACAGCTAAATCAGTCCCAGTCCAGGTACATGGGTAGCAATATCCTTCCAATTTGAGCAACTGAATTGAAATTTTTTTCATTTTTATCAACAGAAGTGACACCAGTCTATATCCATTATAAACTTAAAAACAAGGCAGCAAAGCTGTCAAATGTACAGACAAAAAGCAGGAAATAACAATGCAAAAAATAGGCTACTGTCAATTCTGATGTAAAAATACATTATGCTTAACTACAAATTCAACATCAAATTTTAATTATGCTCAACAGGTAATGCCAATGTAAGTAAAATGTGTAACAAGCATAAGGCTTCAGGCCCACGGGAGTTCAAGTTCACACTTTGAAAGTGCTAGAATGAGAAAAATGAAAATTTCACACNGATTATGTTACTTTGTTCATGTTTGGCCCAATTCAGTCATTACTAGCCCAAATAAACCATGATTTGTGCATGTCATTTAAAAGAAACAAAAAAGAAAATTAAGAATGTCAAGAAATTAATTCTCATCAAAGACACATTTCAATGCACCAGCAAGAAATTACAGCTAAATCAGTCCCAGTCCAGGTACATGGGTAGCAATATCCTTCCAATTTGAGCAACTGAATTGAA